TTAAAGACTAAAGATAACAAAAGGAAACCGATACATCATGTTTGTTTAAAAGTGATTAAAAATGAGTTGGCTATTGAGGTGCACACCTGTAATTCTAGCACTCTGAGGCAGGAGGATTGTGAGTTCAAGCACAGCAAGGGCAACTTTGTGACTTGGTGTCTCAGATTTTCAGCATAAAGAAAAGATGGGGATGTAATTCTGTGTAATTTGTCCTGGGTTCAATTCTCAGTACTGAAACACACACACACACACACACACACACACACACATTCCTTAGAAAGGACGACATTATTTGTGATTAAAAACAGGCAGAGTTTGATCCCCAGTTCCAAAAAACAAAACAAAAAAATCAGGCAGTTGATAAAATGATCTTTCAAAGATAAATAATTTAATAGTAATTGATACAGAAATTTAGATTGCAAAGTTATGTGAGTTTTTCACATATAATTTTGGACACTCTCTCGTCTCTGAACTTCTCTCTTCGGATAAGGAAAGAGAATCAAGGATGAGGACTTTTCACAATGTACTAATTCCCACCCTCTGTCATTACAGTATGTATGCCACCTTGTCCAAAGGCTGCACTTTCACTCCCACGCTATCATGGCTTTAAAAGTTTTGGCCTACCCCCTAAACTTATGGTGAGAAGCAAAGGAGCTAAAAGGAGAAATTTCTATTCCATTTCCCTCTTTAAATTATCTCTGGTGTCTTGATTCAGCGATTGTTTTCACTTAAAAATAACACAATATTTTTTTCTGGACAGAATATATCTTACTATTGACATGTGATTAAACAGGAGAAAAGTATGTATTTGGGTGGAAGATAAACATTTCTCCATTAAGAAAACACCAGTTCTTCTACTTCTCATCCTATTTCAATGTATTTTTATCTTGGAGATGATTGTGTATCTGCTTCCAGTCATTGATTTCACTGACTTCCCCTCACTTCTGCTGATTTGGTCAACAAATGTAATATAGCACTTTCCTGTACTATGCTATGCTTTCAGAGGAACAGCATGGTTATGCAAAGTTTAAGCCACAAGTTCTGTTTGAGTATTAGACTGTGTTGCTAATTTGTATCTGGTTATGGATAAGATATTGCAAAGGATGACTTTCTGTTGTTGCTTTATTTTATCTCCCAGAGCTTGAAGAGTCCAGACAAAAATGCCCACCTTGGTGGTACAGATTTGCACACACATTTTTGATCTGGAATTGCTCTCCATATTGGATAAAATTCAAAAAAATTATCTATTTTATTGTAATGGATCCTTTTGTAGATCTTGCAATCACCATTTGCATAGTTCTAAACACATTATTTATGGCTATGGAACACTATCCAATGACTCTGGAATTCAAAAATGTACTCGCCGTGGGCAATTTGGTGAGTTTCTTCTCGGGGTTATGCATCCACGGTGTCTCTCTTTGGTTGTCATTATTGTTACATCCTTTTTTAAAGTCAGTAAATGTGCAGTTAAGTAATGCATATCTAGAATGTACCATGCAAACTACTCTGAAGTCAAGTTTCTGGCCATATATTCCATCTTTAAATAATTTTGCAATAGTGTTGAGTTCTATAACTAGCAATATTGCTTCTGTGTGTTTCATCAGTTTGGAAGTTAATAATGGTTTTTGTCTGCAGTATGTCTGTTGAACACTGTGAAATTTGGATACTTTCTTACATCTTATAATTACAAGTCAAATTGCTTAAAAATATACACTTCATTTTATAGAAAAACCACATCTTCTTTATCCAGTTTCCAACTGATGAGCAAATAGGCTGTTTCCAAGTTTTAGCTATTACAAACTGTGCCACTATAAACATGGGTGCGCATACTTCTCTGTGATATGATTCTTTTAGTTCTTTTGGAAAGATACCCAGCAGATGGACGGCTGGGTCAAATGGAACCTACAGTCCAAGCTCTTTGAGGTATCTCCATATTGATTTCCAAAGTGGTTGCACCAGTCTGCACTCCCACCAACAATAGAGATGGTTTTCCTATAAAATGGAATATTACTCAGCCATAAAGAATGAGAGCATAGATTCATTCATAGGAAAATGGATACATATTGAGGATATACTCCTAAGTGAAATAAATAAGGCACATGTATAAATACCGAATAGTTTCTCTGGTGTGAATAATCTATAATAGTACATAAGATCCTAATGA